CCTACCCGTAGGCACCAACACCAGCATCTTCGCAGACGACCTGGCAATATGGGCATCCCATGAAAATCTTGACATGGTTCAAGCCGCTCTGGACAAGATTTGCGATTGGTCAAAATGATGGAAGATAGAAATTAACGTGGCGCAATGCAAATACTCTTTTTTCACGACATGGAACCATGAAATATCCTGGTGTACCCAGCTTACAATGGGAGACGAGGAGGTGCCCTATAACAAAACACCTACCTTCCTTGGCGTGACCTTTGATTGCAAGTTAACATTTAAAGAACATATCAATAAATTAAAGAAAAAACTGGTCCCACGAGTCAATCTCCTCCGCAGGCTCTCCAGCACAGACTGGGGATGCAGCAAAGAAGATCTACACTGGATGCCCACGCAGCCTGGTACCCAGCAACGGCCAAAACAAATCGTGAGACCTTAAATGTTATTCAAAACTCGTCAGCCAGAATAATTACCAGGTGTACGAGAGACTCAAATGCAATGCTGCTCACAAACGAAGCTGGCCTCATCCCACTTGAGATGAAGCCTAACATTGCAACTGCTGTGGCATACGAGAGAGCAAGAAGAGTCCCAGAGGATAACCCGATTCGTGTCTCAGCTGAAGGAACATCAAAAATATGTTTAAAGTCCATCAACAGTTGGAGGGAAGTGGGCCGACAGAGCTCTAATAACGCGGGACTAGAACATCTAATCCGAGAACCCCTACGGCCAGTGAGTACAACTCCCCCGTGGAAGACCCCCTGCAACCTCACAATCAACTCAAAACTTACAGTGTCTACGACAAAAACAGATCCACCTAATATGCGACGTGAAGCAGCTTTCGAGACCATGTGCTGATTGCCTACGTCCGACCTCGATATCTTCACTGACGGCCATGCCACCGACAGCTACAGGTTGTGTGGAGGAGGATTCTGGTGCCTAGACAAATCTTCTGGGGAGGAAACATGCGTATCCGTGCCCGCGAGACTATACGGAAGCAGCTACCGAGCTGAAACTACCGCCCTGCTCCGCGCACTGCAATGGCTCGAAAAACAACCACGTTTTCAAAGAATCCACATCTTCACAGACTCCCAGTCAGTTGTTCAACACCTAATGTCCGAAGAGGACAAAATGTGGACCACTATCTGCCACTGCTGTGAAATCCACGGACACCTTCACATACAATGGATACCAGGACATTGCGACATCCACGGGAACGACCGAACTGACACCCTGGCCAACACTCCAGTCGATATCGCGTTAGCAAGCTCGTGCATCTCGCGTTACATCATTGCCCACGCATGGGAGAAAGCGTGAGTGCATGACTCCGTCGGGGGAAAGGTGAAGCCACCATCGGAGAGGGACAAAGAGAGAGACCTTACCGTTAGACAGAGAAGAGTGTTATCGCAGCTAAGATGTAACGCGAAGAGCCCCATCCTGCAGACGTATCTCCATGCATTAGGCTCCGCTCCCAATGATTCCTGTCTGGCGTGTGGCACAAGTCCTGACGACCTGCAGCATGCACTGTATGAGTGCCCGCGGGGGGAAGCACATTGAGGCCCACTTTTGGAGAACAACGCGAGACCGGGCCCAGATGTAGTCTGGACGAGGCCACAAGAGGTTGCGGCTTACCTGTCTGCCTGCGGCATACTGCCGCTCTCCTAACGGAGGCCAGCCAAAGGAAGGAAGGAAGGAAGGAAGGAAGGAAAAACGATCATTTATCCAAAAGACATCCGCAATATCTTCACTTAGATCTAGATCTAGACCTAGGCCATAGATCTAGAAGAACCTAAGTCTATCCTGAGCCAAGAGGGCGCTGAAACTTTCAGAAATCACAAAAGATTTCCCCTACCGGGTCTGTATACTTTGTGACTTTGTTCCCAGTTACCAGGTCTGTATTTATACATTTTGACAGACAGCTCTGCAAAGCATGCAGATCGGATTATTGAGTAGTTCTAGATCTCCTCTTTGGAAAGTGGTGGCACAGAGTCAGAGTTCCCCACGTCGTATGGATACGAAGTAAAACATGACGTAGGCTACGGATAGGGTTAATTCAACTTCTGCCTGGAATCCTGGAACACAATTTGACAACTGACCTGTATTTCCCTGAAATCTTTTAAAAGACCCAAACACTTGGGTCATTAAATTGACAATGGATTCTGTGGGGTCCTGGGAAAAAATACGTCGAATTATTTTTAGATAACATGAAATAGGTGGGCCTATGTAGATCTAGATCTAGAATCTAGTATCTCTATGTATTTCATTCCTCTGACTGACGGGACCGGAACTCCCCGCACGCGTGCAAGATTTCATTGTCATGGCATGGCACGGTCTTGTTGATCGGTCGGTGGTCTGCTGTGATCGACTACTGTCATTACGATTATCAGTACCGGGATGGGAGG